GGTAGTTGCTGCCACATCGGCAGAAAAAAACTACCATTTTGAGACAGACTTCGTACAGTCACCGGCCGGTGTTCGGTCGGTCGCCTGAAGATGTCCGGACGGAGTCCGTTCACGTCACCGAGCTCTGCTTCCGATGAGGAGAGCTCGGTGGCACCAAAAAAATCCACCGAGCTCTACCGATGCCGGACATCGGCCGGGCTATGTGACTAGGCCATTACCCAAGAAATTTGTGTTTTATGACATTTGTGAAACTTATTCTTGAAGAAAATAATATACAAGGCAGGACATAAGTAGTCATCATAGAATTTCTGATCCAATTGTGCCCCCTCCGCGTTCTTGTATTTCTAAGGGGTAGGGGTCAACAAAGCCATATTAAAAATACAAAATAGTACTTTATCATTACATTACTTACATTACAATGTCACATATAGCTTGGAAATGATTTTTGAATACTACTTGGAGCACTGTTACTGCCTATTATTTCTCTGAAGCTGCAACAATAAAATCGGTAAGACTAAAAAGGGGTAAGGGGTAGGGGTCAACAAAGCCATCATTACATTCCTTATATTACAATGTCACACATAGCCTGGAAATGATTTTTGATTACTACTTGGAGCACTATTACTGACTATTATTTCTCTGAAGCTGCAAAAATAAGATTGGTGAAAATAAAAAGATAACGAAACTATGCGTTTTATTTCGATAAATTATATTTTCTCCCAAACCAATCAATATATCTCCCTATAACTTTGGGAAACACTTGACTACAGTGCTATAATCATATGTAAAAATCAGTGCTATAGTTAATGTATAACTGATTTTATAGAATGATAATATAGTACCCCCCTGAAATATTATTCTAGGGGGGTAAAACTGCTCAGAATCCTTCGTCCACAAACTAAAAAGACCCAGACATATATGAATTGATACTAAATGAAGTCATCTTTCAGAAACATTATGTCTATCAAGTGGCCCTTGAACTTCCCAAAACCCGTGCTGAGTCCTGGCCTAATAGGAATAATTGTGATATGAGTGCTGAGGCCTTATCACACGCTTGTCGCAAGATTTGCATTTGCGTTGCGTTTGCGAATCTCCAATATGCGCTGGCGCAACTCCTGCTTTGAGTCTTATCATGGGGTTGTAGCAACGCAGATCGCAACGTAAGTGGTAGTTTACCACATGTGATCGCAAAAATGTAGAATTCTTGAGATTATAATTAAAATTCTTGACATTAAATTGGCAGGGAAATCATAATAGAATACAATGTCTGGGCCTCATACAAATACTTATCTCGAATTGAGTTTTAATTTTAGGTATATTATACCATTACATGAATCTCGCGATTGGGAACACGTTAATAGTTGAATGTCAGTACACATTCTCACCCTCGTCATCACATATAATCCAAGTGCACCCTCGTCAGTACACACTCTCACCCTAGTACACCATCGACAGTACACACTCTCATCCGGGTGCATCGTAGTTGAGTGTGTAATCACGAGGGTGCCCTGGTTTTAAGAGTACTTACAAGGGTGCACTCGTCTGGTAAAAGTATTTAGTTTCGAGGGTGCATCCGGGTCGCGGGTGAGAGTATGTATGACGTGGTTTCACACGGGTGAGAGGGTGTACTGAGAAGGATGCACTCAGATGAAAGTCTGTACAGACGAAATTTACTCGGTTGAGAGCATGTCATGACACAGGTGCACTCGGATGAGAGCATGAACTGACTAACAAGTGTACACTCTGGAGAGAGGATGTTTTAATATTCGATGACATGTTCCCGTTCGCGATGTTCATTTGATGTGTGACTATACAGTTTCATATTTCAAACTTGAAACAAGTTCGCCTTCTTCTTGGAGCAGACTATGTCTAAGGGCCAAACATTATATCAGAACGTTTGCTTCTTGATGACACCCGGTCCAAAGTAGATTTTTATTTACTTCTCAAAGTATCGTGAGGGTAAAGGACCGTTTGCACCTTTCCAGTTAAATTCCAATATTCCACCATATATGTTAAAATTATTTCAATACCATCGAAACACCCAAAAGAGGCTTTTCCATATAGCTTTGAAATCTTGTTAAAGTCTCGTTTTAATGAGATTTTAGGAGACCTGCATTTTTACTCTCTATTGTATTGTATTGTATTTTGTTTACCACCAATGAAGGTGAGCAATACCTCTTGGGTATGTCCCGTATATATACGGTCGTAATTTACGTAATTAACATGGAAGATAGACCCAGAAACCCCTCCTTGAAGGAGCCCTGTGTTCTTTTATGTGCACTTATACATAGACATATAAGTACACACCACAGCCTTTTTGTACGAGTTGCGGACCACTCAGTCAAACACCCTGAAGTACTTCATGCAAACAAGCAAATTTAGTCTTGCCTGAACCGGGGATCGAATCCGGGACCTATTGCGTAAGAGGTACCTGCGCTACCGCTGAGCTACACGGGTGGACTAAAGACTAACATTCTCTTCTATTTGATGGCATATTTGAATTATGTATGTAATTTTCTATCGAAACAACTTTGATTTGCACTGTTATTTACCTTTATTCAAATACTAGAGATTTTCAAGTTTTCTAAAAATGGTTGGGCTAAATCCCCAATTGAAACAATGTTGAAAAACCTTTAAAATTTCATTTACTCTTATAAGGATCACAACTTTAATGTGAAATCACATTCCACATATCAATAATGACATATAGTTACATTCCAATGGTGTTTCTACAAAATAGATACAAATGGAATTACTTGTTAAATCAAGAAATTAAGTGACTCTTGCTATTAAGTTGCCATGTTATTTAGCTCTACCAATACCCATGATGCCATCTATTTTTCCTTTTATGAAAAGGGTAAATTAATAAATACCAATTTTTGTTCGATGGGGGTTGATGTAATTTCTCATTTCATTTCAAAATACCCTCATGGACATTTATTTCGAGGGAAAGTATACATTCAAGTAGACCTTGGCCAAGGGTGTCATTAAGTGAAACTCCTGGATCTACATATCTACATACCAGTATTTTCTACTAATAACAAATCTATACTTTATACTAATAAACTTGTGATAATACCTTTTAATACCTTTTAAATAGAAATACATTGATTCACTGAAGTCAGTGCATATCGAAAATTACAATAAACTGTACCTTGATTATAGTTGACACCTCTCCCACCACCTCAAGACAGATGCTTGGGTTATTCCAAATAAGTCCATATTTGTCATTTGTAATAGTTGCAAAGAACCTCAAAGTTATGCCCATTTTTAGCAATGTCGGAATGAATGTTGTGTTTCGTTTTCTTGGATTTGCGATCAGAATTTGGATATAATTATAAAATTCGAAGGTTTTAAACACCCCTCATACCATTAACGATTCCTTTGATTTAAGCACTTTCAAAAGACATAATCTAACTTTTTATTACACTGTCGCCTTGAGAAAAGAACATACTTACGCATTCAATAAAGCAACTCCTACATTGACACATTTAAAATAGATAACAATTGTCTTAAAGATGGGTAAGATTTGTGATTGATTTGCAGCAGGGTAAGAGCTATCGCAACATTTTGGTCAGTTGCGATTGAAACATCTTTCAATTTGCGATTGCGTTGCACTTGGCGGATGATATAAATCCTGATTGCGATTTGGAAATTCTTGCGTTGCGTTGCGTTGCGCTTGCGAATCTGCATTGCAACAAACAGGTGATAAGGCCTCTGGTCTTCTAATAAATTGAATCAAATTACCGTACCAAAGACTAACAATTATTCAGACAACAAGACTACATATTATAGGAATATTCATGAAACATAAATATTCAAATACATTATTATGTTTCTAATAAAAATAAATCATATTCATATGAGGAACATCTACCCAACAATCAAAAACATGAGGTACAACATCTTTTTTCAGAGAATGTTTCTTATTAAAACCATGATATTCAAAATCATCATGGGTGAAGTGTAAAGAACAAACTTTACAAAAAGGTTTCAACTGAAATGATTTATCTTCAATTCGATGGATAGCAATTATCCACTTTCTTTTATCATTCTCTGGAACCTTAACAAATGTTACGATCTTGTCTTTAGCAACTGATGTCCCATATGAGATGCATCTTGGAACTATGCAATGTGTTTTGTGTGTACATGTCTTGCGTTTCTTGGAACTGTCACCAAAATATTTAATTAATTAGTTTGTTTATGTGAAATTGATGATATGCTGCCCCATCCTGAAATCACTTGAAGAAAATTATGAATGGTATTGCACTGAATTATTATCAAGCACTGATTCACGAGTTTTTGAAAAAGTCTTGACACAAGACTCGAGTAGGCCAAAACCTTGATAATTTACCCCCCCCCCTTATACATATGACTCGATTTTACTGTTGATTGATCAATAAATATCCATTTCACCTTGCAATATGAGAAAATATAGCACAAGCTTACATGTGAAGAAGTACATATCGGGGTCAATGTGCTGTAAACATTTGACTCTTCACATCAATATTACTCATTTGATTCCTCAGAACAGTTTAATGAAGGGAGAATATGAACGAGAGTGTAATCAATGAGATTTCGTCACATTTATGATACAGATTATTAAGTGCTCATCATGATTCAACAATTAAATGAGCCCGTCTCCCTCGCGATTCACACTGACTTGTAATGTGTTCAGATTCTGCTGCAAAAATCTGCCCTACTCTGATGTCAGAGATTCTAGATTTGCTAATTATATACTAATATTCATGAGCTAACTTTGGGTAAAGGTGAATAAAAAGATATATCATTTAAGAACAATAGAAATTTGGACAATATGGATATAGTCTCAAGAATGTACTTTTATCAAAGGTGCATATAAAGAACTAAGATACAGCATACATGTAGTATCTATATCTATCAAGTCAAGTGGTTTAACTATACAGCTTTCCATATTATATTAACTACAAGTATATTGTTATGTGTTGATAGATTACATGGGTTTAAATGTGATGGCTCACCTCATTTTGTCCTTCTTTCAAGAGGGGGGCGGGTATATATAGAGTTTGTTGTGGGCCTATCTCCCAGTAACGACCAAGATTGAAGCCATTCACAAACACATTACCTTTGTCCCAGCCCTAAAATATAATTCAAATGTAAGTTACTTTGAAGAAAAGAAATCTTTGAGATAATTGCAAATAAATGATCAAAGTCTGATATACAACCACAATTTTTTTCAACTGGGTGCATCAATGTGCATAAAGTTACTTTGTATTTTAGAATACCTAGCCTTTGGCAATCGGAATTTTAGCAAGGACAAAAACACAAAAATCTTAACTTTGACTTCTGCCTTTATTAAGAGACGGCTTACCCCATATTGAACAAGACTATTCTAGAACCTATTGTACCCTGCCTTGTCTTGCAAATATAAATTACATTGTCCCTCTGCCCTGTATTTCCCCCAGTCCCAACCCAGCTCAGACCCCCCTTACACCCCTCTTCAACTTTTTCCCCGCTAGGCTAGAGTGCTTATAATGCCAAAATGGTGATTAGCACTTGAATAGTACAATAACGTAGGAGGCCCAAGGTCCAATATTTAGAGGTTATGTCACTATCGTGGCATATATGCCCGAGGTCTCAGTGATATATGGCCCGACCTTGGGAGGGACATTGATCTCTGAGAACCAAGGGCATATGTGCCACGATAGTGACATAAACGATTTATAACATACATATGATTATGTAGAATGGTCAGAGAGTACCGTTTTCTAATAGAATTGACAAACAAATGGTTTGAAAATGATTGAAATGAGTTTAGAAAAATTGCTCGTGCAGTTTTATCTTTGATTGATTGGTTATGACGTCAGCGCCTTGACCAATCAGAAAGTTAGAGGGCGCGGGCTTTTCACAACTTATATTGGCCCGCTGTCTTGTGTACACTTTGCACTATGCATCATCATAGGTATGTTATAATTCACTATATTGCTCACAGAAATGACGTTATTAGTATTATTACCACCATTAGTGACCAGGACTGAAACAGCAAGAAAATCTTACGCACTGAACGATATCTAATTTCCCAGGAAAAATTGCTGGTCGCTAAATGCATTCTTGACCGACAATATGGACCACCACTATGATGTCACATATTGCTCAGGTCAATATCGTAAAATGAATGCCTTCTAAACTAGCATTAAAACCCCTAGAACTTGCCTGACAAGGTGGTAATAATATGCTCTCTTGTATTTACTATATTGCCCCATGTACATCTTTTTTTATTTTTATAACTAAATAAATAAAAATAAAAAATGTGCATAAAAGAGACCACTGTACCTGCATGTCTATGTAAGTGTCTTGTGGTGTAGAACTAATATCTAATGTGGCTTTAAATAGTCTGGGGCTCTTCAAAACATTTACTGAAGAATCTGAGTTCATCCACTTGAAAGATTCTGATATATCTTGGAGGAATGATTTCTTGAACTCCATTGGAAAAATTATCCATGAATTGATCACTTTCCCATCTAATTGCACATCATTTCTAAGACCTGGAAATACAAATAAGGGATTCATATCATATTACAAAGGGGAATAGATCCTCCAACAAATTGAAATCTACAGTGGTGCAATCCTGGATATATCTGTTGGCAATAATAAGAATGCTGTGAATATATATGACTTGATGACTGACATAAATTTTACAAAAGTGGAGGGGTATATGACAGGTCATACCTTTTCTCTGGTCATTGAGGATTGGACTCTGAAAGTCACCATAGTTAACCCTACCCATATTCTCCACCAGTATCTCCAGTGTATTCTCTCCAGATGCCAATTCCAATGGTATAACATGGTCCTCTACTGTACAGTCTAGCACATCTATTTGTTCCCCATTAAGGTACACCTACAAGGAAACTGAATGTGATTTCACAATCAACAATAGCATAAGTGTGCTTTACAAACACTGCATGGTCAACAGGGAACAGCATAGGCACGGGAACATGTATACAAGAACAGAAAACTGTACATGTCCCCATAAATGGGCAATCCAATATTTTTTTTCATCCTGAATGTCAAACTAATCAGTTGAAGAAAACTTCCAAATGGCCGCCTTACCCTTTCCCAAAAATCCCAAAAGGCAGTCAGTTTGAGATTTTCATACAAAGAATCATTCCTAAAAAATTGATCCATCAAACAGTTGGCCAGGAAATGCGTTGACAAGACTTTACAGACAAGATTTTAGGACAGAAAATCCAAAATAGCCACCTTAACATTTACCAAGAATGTCTAAAAATTAATCAATGCTAGATTTTTTTTTCTAGGTTCGGAAAGATGTTTCATTTCACTCTGGAAACATGATACCAAGAACAAAACAAGTGTTTGATGTGTTTTCTAAAACAATATAAAGTATATATATATTTTTCAAATTATATTGTTACCATTCAAAAGATCACCATTAAATTGACGATGCATTAAATTTTTATATTTTTTTATGACTAGTTTAAGAGAAACCTGTGTTCAAAAAATTCTCCATATCGATACCACTCCTTTGATCAAAATCTGTCAACTGGTCCTTGAGTTATCAAAGATTACATTTTTTAATGAAAAATGGTGGAGATTTCGATAAATAGTGACCATCTTGAATTAATTAATTGACATTACACTTTAATGATTTGCTTCGAAATTTTGTATACAGGTAGCAAAGAGTGTGCTAATAGTGTTAGCCTTTTGCCGTCAGAAAGTATTTTGACCCACTTCTGAGATATGGTGTCCGAAAAGTAGGTCAAAATAAAAAAAATTCAAATTTAACGTATGAGTAATGAATTAAGGGTAGGATTTTCTCAGGAATCTGAATCTGAAATCGAAATTGAAATCCGACTTTCAGTTAAGATTCTATGCCAGTATCCAGAATGCCGATCGATGAAATATACTTTCAAAAATTCCTACATAACTACCCAGCTATCTACTTAGCTACTTACTCAGCTACCTACTTAGCTACTTACTCAGCTTTCTACACAGCTTCTTACTGGGCTACTTACTCAGCTATCTAGGTCAAATCAAACAATCTGGAGTCTTAAATTAAATTCTTCTTGCCCCCACGTTTTCTCGTCAACTCAAAGAGCTTACTTTAAGCAGTCTACATGGTTAACTAGGTAATGTGTCTGGGCTGCCCGGAAATTTGGTCAAATTTTTATCTAGGTCAAAGGTCAAGATCTAGGTCAAAGGTCAAGAACTAGGTCAAATCTTGTGTTTTCACTATTTTGCCACTTTTCTCAGTCGTCCTTCAGTATTTTCTCTCCGTTTTTTTTTCATCATGTTCCTTGGAAAAAATGTTAATTCCTAAAGGCAAATTGTTTTTTGATTACTCTTACCGATTTCGAGATATGGCGTCCGAAAAGTAGGTCAGAACAGCAAGTTCTCCAAATTCAACATGTGAGTTATGAAATAAGTGTAGAATTTTCTCAGGAACTTGAATCTGCAAACCAAATTTCGATCCGACTTCCCGTTCGGAAGTTATGGCGTTTTAATATCTCAAAAATCGCTAAATTTGTGTCCAATGTTAAGTCAATGGGAAAAAAGATTTATTTGAAGTGTAATATACGAGATATAGACTGAGTACAGCTTTATATAATGATAGCCTCTAAAAGAAGGGAACCTCAAAAGCCAACTAGCTTCAAAATCTGGACAGCAAAATGCATACACCTGTAGGTCAATATCTAGATCAAATTCATAGTTTTTGTCCTTATTTTTGTGATTCTGACACTACATTTTAATCATTTGCTTCAAAATTTTGTAAACAAATTTATGGTGTGAGTTATGAATTAAGGGTAGAATTTTCTCAGGAATCTGAATCTGCAAACCTAATGTCAATCCGACTTTTGGAAGTTATGGCGTTTTGAAAGCTCAAAAATCGCTAAATTTGGTGCCCCATGTTATGTCAATGAGAAAAAAGATTTTTTTGAAGTGTAAAATACCAGATATAGACTGAGTACAGCTTAACATTCTGAAAGCCTGTAAAAGAAGGGGACGTCGAAGGCTATCTAGCTTTAAAATTTGGACACCAAAATGCCTAGGTCAAAATCTAGGTCAAATTCCTAGTTTTTCCTTATTTTTGCGATTCTGACATTACACTTTAATGATTTGTTTCGAAATTTGGAATACAGGTAGCAAAGAGTGTGCTAATAGTGTTGCCTTTTGCCTTCAGAAAGTATTTTGACCCACTTTTGAGATATGGTGTCTGAAAAGTAGGATAAAATAAATAGTTCTCCAAATTTAACGTATGAGTTATGAATTAAGGGTAGAAGTTTCCCAAGAATCCGAATCTTTAAACAAATTTCAATCCAACTTCTGGTTAGATATTTATAGCGGTTTGAAGTATCGAAAAGTCGATATGATGATATCCCCATGTTAAGCCAATGGAGTCAAAGATAACATTCTTAAGAGTCGTCTAAATGTCTATATTCTAGCTGACTCAGCTTATTCTGGTATTCTGGATGACTCAGCTTTACAAGTATTCTGGATGATTAAGCTCAAAAAAAGTTTGAAATCTGGAGTCTTAAATTGAACTTGTTCAATTTACATGTCTAGTTAATTATAAAACATTTTGAAATTCAGCTGACGCCTTTGAAATTACTTCTGAAGCAGATCTCCTCTGTCTCTAGACATAAGCAGATAAAAATTGTTTGTTAATAATGATTACGTTTTTCTGAAAAATGGTGGCCATTTTGAATTCAGTGGCCATCTTCAAAATGTTTTCTCGAGCAAAGCTTCTTTGTCTCTAGGCATCAACATATATAATTTGAACCAAATCAGTCAACTGGTATTTGAGTTATCAAATATTACGTTCTTTTATGAAAAATGGTGGCCATTTTGAAATTAAGAGTCATCTTGAAAATCTCTTATTGAGCAATGCTCCTTTGTCTGTAGGCAACAGCATATAAAATATGAACCAAATTTGTCAACTTGTATTTGAGTAGGGTACCCCAAGGCATGAAAAAACAAGAACACAAATGTGTACAAAATGTCCCCACCAATGGGTGATCCCATCAAATGGTTATCCTGAAAATGAGTAGACAAGACTTTACCCACACAATTTGAGGATGGAAAATCCAAAATGGCTGCCTTAAAATTTACCCAGAATGCCCAAAAACTAGTTAGTTCTAGATTTTCATACCAAGAACCACCCTTGAAAATTTGAAATTGATCCATCAAACAGTTAACCAGAATACATGTACAGCTGGTAAGCAGCCATGGTGCGCACTACCCTAAATAAGAAAATTTAATTTTCAAATCACGCTTGAATTTCCCAGGGAATCGTCCAACGAGACTCCGCGAGATTTCTCAAGAGAGCTCTCTGTTTTGGAGGCATGACCCACCCCATACAAGGAACTAATGTCGTGCCATTTTAGTTTCAAAGACGAGTCTTTTCTCGACATTTTGGTGTATAGAACATTATTTTTCTTCGATGAGAAACAAGTTTTTAGAAGGCTGAAAGAAGGCTGGTACGTTTTGAGTGATAGCTTTAGGGTAAGTCTGCAAAAGCGTATCATAACCGGGCCATTAAAGATTGGGGCTGAATGTTGACTTGATTTTCTTCAAAATAAATCGTATTTTTCGTAATTTAAAACAGAATTAGTGTTCCCCCGGTCAATGTAGCGATATTTAACAAATAATCGGAGGTAACCCAACTTCCGGTTTCAGGAATTATCCTATATTTCTAGGAAATAGATGAAAAAAAAGATGAATTCCATCATAATTTTTTTTGTTTGTGTTTATTTTAGGTGTAACACTGTCTTGGGGCGATTAATGTTGACTTATAGCTGGTTACTACATTTTGAAGGTAATTCTTTTGTAAAATCTCATTAGTAGTAATGTGTGCATCCATTGTAGATTCTTTGAATTGCATCAAGTGTGAGTAATATAACATTGGTTAAATACATTGATGAAATATTAAGGGCAGGTTTAGTAATGAATAAGGTAATGTTGTTCAGTTTCAAATTGGCTCAGTATAGCGAATACGGTATGTTAGTATACTTTAAGGAAAAGAGAGCTTGAGCGACTTTCAATTATCATTTGGCATAAGCGTGTCTGATTTTGGCATACACATGTCGCATTCTGGCATAATCGTTCATATCATAAGGAAAAGTAAGTTTGCTTCCACACGAGGTACTTGTTCCTTGTCTTGAATGTCATTGTACCCATGTAACTAATCGTGTATCTTAAGAAGTATGATGGGATGTGTCGGGCTCGTTCCAGACATTATGTAAACAATCTTCTCACAGAATCTCTTCCACATTGCATTCCAAAGGAGGTTGATGTAATGGAGGAAATGTAATTCTTAGCAGTTTGTGTGTAATCTATTTTGGGAAACCTTCTACAGAAGTGGGAAAGTACCTCTTGTGGAATTCGGCTGTAAATGGTGAGGCAAAACGTCTTGAGAAACAGAATCTATTACCTTAGAGGCAAAGCGCAGTTTGAAAGTCAATATCAATGTAGTAGACTAAATGTCTGGGTATAAAATGTGTACAAATGAGACAAGGGCTAGTAGATGGATTGCGGGTTTGAAGAAAGATACATGTAAGAGCAGGTTAGAGAGGGTAAGATGGGTTTGGAAAGTGGAGGAATGTTTAAGATCTGAAGAAATGGAATTGTGTAGAACTTTGTACAATTAGAAATTAGAAAATAAAGTGAAGATGAAAACTATATAAAGTCTCGGCCTCTATGTTTAGAAACTTTAGATCCGTTTACCAATAAGGGACACCGATGACATTGATCATAAAATACTTTAAGTAATAATGGACATTGGGTCAAGAAGAACATTGGTGGTCATTTAAATTAACGGACACAAGCCTTACCTGTATCATGTCAGTTATTCATTTTGGACTGTTTGTGTCAGTGAGAGCA